TTGTATTGTTAATTTTAATAGGAATTTCCAGGTTACTTTTTAAATAAGGCTGCAGTGCTTCAGTTTAATCAACAATTTATGTCATTCTTCCCTACATTACTGCTAAGAAGTGGTGGCGCTGTTCTTTATTAATCTTTGCCACTTTGTTGTATATAAAGTGACTATTGCTTCTTCATTTTTCATTTCTCTAACTGCTTATGAATTTGAGCATCTTTTCATACGATTTTGCCATTTAAATTTGCACTTCTGTTACTAGTCTGTTTATACCCTTTCCTCCGTTTTCTATTGGGTTGTTTTTCATTTTCTTGTCAATTTATAAGAGCTCTTTGTATATTGCAGAAAGTATGCCTTTGATTGTCTTACGCGATATCTTTCCAGCTCTTTGTTTATTCATTTTGTTTATGGTATCCTTTGTCATGCAAAAGTTTTGTTTGAGGCTGTTTTTACTGTTTAAGTACTTATTGAATTAAAGGGTTTTAGAAACACTGCTGTGCTCACTAAGCCACTGTAATCGTTAGGAGGCTGAGCGGGGGAGGTGGATCATCTCTTGACACTGCCCAGAGCTTCCCCCAAATTCTCAGTGCATGCAAAAGAGAAATGAAATAGGGCATTTCAATTATACCTCTACAAAATTGAAAAAGGAGAGAGATAAATGAGAAGTCACAGGCAAAGGACATGTGACGAAGCCCCAGCAACTGTTATTTAATAGAAGAAAGCCCACTTGGGTTAACTAGCACTGAAGGAGAGGCTCAGCTAGGGCACTGTATTCGTTTCCTAGGGCTGCTGTAACGAAGCACCACAATCTTGATGCTTTCAAGCAACAGAAATTTATTGTCTTACAATTCTAACCATCTGAAACCAAGGTGTTAACAAGTATGTTTTTTGTTTTTTATAAATTTATTTATTTATTTTTGGCTGTGTTGGGTTTTGGTTGCTGTGCGTGGACTTTCTCTAGTTGCGGTGAGCGGGGGCTGCTCTTCGTTGCGGTGCGCGGACTTCTCATTGCGGTGGCTTCTCTTGTTGCGGAGCACGGGCTCTAGGGACGCGGGCTTCAGTAGTTGTGGCACGTGGGCTTCAGTAGTTGTGGCACGTGGGCTTCAGCAGTTGTGGCACGCGGGCTCTAGAGCTCAGGCTCGGTAGTTGTGGCGCACGGGCTTAGTTGCTCCACGGCATGTGGGATCTTCCCGGACCAGGGCTCTAACTCATGTCCCCTGCATTGGCAGGCAGATTCTTAACCACTGTGCCACCAGGGAAGCCCAAGGCTGTTTGTTTTTTGGAGACTCTGAGGGAGAACCTGTCTCCTGCCTCTCTCCTGGCTTCTGGTGGCGACTGGCCATCCTTGGCTTTCCTCAGCGTGTAGACACATGACTTCAGTCTCTGCCTCCATCATCACCTGGCCTTCTTCCCTGTGTGTCTTCACATGGCCTTCTTATAAAGACACCGGTCATTGGATTTAGGGCCCGCTATAATCTGTGATGATTGCATATTAACCTAACAAATTACATCTGCAAAGACCATATTTCTCAATAAAGTCACATTCTGATGTGGAGATGAATTTTTTAGGGACACTATTCAACCCCGTACAGTCTGCCCTCTGCCTGCATCCCACCCCAAAAACAACCACATCAATCGCGTGTGCAAAATACATCCCCCAAAGTCTTGACTCATTTCAGCATTGACTCTGAATCCAAAATCTCATATAAATATCATCAACTCAAAAGTTCAAAATCTCAAAAAGTTCAAAATCTCGTCCTGTAAATCATCTAAATCAGGTATAGGTGAGGATTTGGATATGATCCACCTTGGGTCTAACTTCCTCTACATCTGTGGACCTGGGAAACTAGAAAATAAGTTATCTGCTTCCCAAAATGCAATAATGAGATGGGCATTGGATAGACATTCCCATTCTAAAAGAGAGAAGTGGTCATGGAATCTAGTAGTCCCTCAGTGGAGAGCCTGATTCTGTAGCCTGCCCCCCTCCCCTAGCTTTCTGTCCCATATAGAGTGATGCAATCAGCCTCTACCAGCAACAACTGTCCTTGCAAATTAGATACTTTTTTTATATGTAAAGCCAAATACATCTGTCTTTTTCTTTATAGCTTCTGTGTTTTTGATCTTGGTTAAAAATGTTTCCTCTGACCCTATATTGTACATGTAGTCGCCTAATTTTCTCTGAAGATTCTAGTTGCTTAATTTTATATTTACATCTTTAACTCTTCTGAAATTTATTTTTTATATCATGGAAGATGGAGTCCATTTTAATTTTTTCCATATGGATATCCAATTGTAATATACCACTTATTTGAATAAATTCATACTTTTCCAAAAAAGTGGTTTGAACTATGACTTGGTCATCTGTTAATTTCTCATATACACGGGCTATAATTCTTGATTCTCTGTCCTTTTATACTGATTACTATGTTTCTTCTTATGTCAATATCATATTGATTGGCTAACAGTGACTTTTCAGTATATTCTGATAACTGTTAAAACAAGTCTCTCACTGACTTGATTTTCTGAAAGTCTCCCTTTTTATCCCCTTACAAGTTCGTATGAGAGTATAGAGTGATACTAACCATTTGGTAACCACTAGCCAAAATTAATTAATATAAGATTAATTAAAATTAAATGAAATTTAAATTAAGTATCATTAAAAATTCAGTCCCGGGCTTCCCTGGTGGCGCAGTGGTTGAGAGTCCGCCTGCCGTTGCAGGGGACGCGGGTTCGTGCCCCGGTCCGGGAGGATCCCACATGCCGCGGAGCGGCTGGGCCCGTGAGCCATGGCCGCTGAGCCTGCGCGTCTGGAGCCTGTGCTCCGCAACGGGAGAGGCCACGACAGTGAGAGGCCCGCGTACCGCAAAAAAAAAAAAAATAATAATAATAATAATAATAATTCAGTCCCTCGGTTGCACTGTCACATTTCACGTTCTCCACAGCCACATGTGGCTGGTGGTTACCATACCGAACAGCTCAGAAGTACATTTCCATCATTGCAGAAAGTTCTATTGGAAAGTGCTTCTCTAGAGTATCTGACATTTTTTTGGTTTCTTCTGATGTTTCTTCTGATGTAAATTCTTCCTCTAACTTGTGTTATATGTTTATTTTCTCCTCTTTTTCTAGTTTTGCAGGTGGGGGAGTAGAGATGATACTAATATCTATATAGGCCATGCAAGGTCCTTCCTCCCTTTTGCTTATATGGTGGCAGTTCAGAAAGAGGCCACTACTTCATAATAGCGTGAGGAAGCTTTCAGCTTCCATCCATGACAGAGTAACTGGAAATGGACTTACCCTCCCATCATAAAGCACTAAAAAACTGGAAAAATATAGGAGACAAGTGTTTGCAGGCTTTGAACAACAGGCAGTACAGGAGTGTGATCCTTGAGAGGATGGAAACACAGGAGGGAAGCCTCAAATTCACATCACCTTTCTGACTTAGGGTACTTTTTGGATCATGGTGCAGACCAAGCAGAGGATGCCAGTCTTACTGAGCTGAGGAGGTCAGAGTTTGGGGCAGCTGGAGCATATGGAATTTTCTGACAGTGTACTAAAGGAGGAGGGATCAGAGCAGAACAGGACCTAGAACAGCCAATATGGTCTTGGGATTAAAAAAAAAAAGTTGTAGGACTCAACACCTATTCAATTTCAAGGATTATTATAAAGCTATCAAATCAAGGCATAAAGACAAATAGATTAGTGAAACAAAATATAATAAATAGATATAGACACACAGTCAATTTATTTATGATATAGAGGCCAAGACAATGGGAAAAAGGAAAGTCTTTTCAAAAAGTTTTACTAGAACAACTGATCATCCATACATTAAAAGAGAAACTTACCTCATACACAAAAATTACTTCTAGATGAACCACAGACCTAAGCAAACAAGCGAAAATGATAAACTTCTAGAATTAAATGTAGGAAACTATCTTTATGAATTTAAGAAGGCAAAGATTTCCTAATCAGGACACAAAAGAAACTAATCATTAAAAATTGTAAATTGGGCTGCATCAAAAGTAAAAACTTCTGCTCATCCAAAGTCAGTTAAGCAAATGAAAAGGCAAGCTATCTATGGTCTGGTTGAAAATATTCATAATACATATGTCTCACAAGGGGTTTGTATCCAGAATTCGTAAAGAATGCCTTCAGTAATAAAATAAGAAGCAGCCCAATTTTAAAATGCATAAAATACTTTTGAAAAGACACTTTGCAAAAGAAAATATATGAAGGCCAATAAGCATATGAAAAGGTATTCGACATTACCAGTCATCAGAGAAATGCAGATTAAAACCACAATGTGATACTTCTTCACACCCACTAAAATGGCTCAAATTTACAAGTCTGATAACACTAAGTTTTGCTGAAGATGTGGAGTAACTGAAATCCAGCATTGCAGCTGGGGTATAAAATAGTACAACCACTCTGGAAAACTGTCTGTTTCTTGTAATGTGAAACACACACCTTTACTATGACCATTAATTCTACTCCAGTTCATTCAAAGAAATAAAAACTTATGTCCACAAAAAGATTTGTACAAGAATGTTTACAGCCCTTTTATTCATAATAACCAAAAACTGGAAATCATACAAATGTCTGTTAACAGATGACTGGATAAATAAATGTGCTATAGTCGCACAATGGAATACTAGTCAGCAATAAAAGTGAATGAATTGCTTATACATGGAACAACGTGGATGAATCTTAAAGACATTATGTTGAGCAAAAGGAGCCCAATACAGTGGAGTACGTACTCTATGATTACGTTGATATGAAGTTCAAGAATAGGCAAAACTAATCAATGGTGACAGAAATCAGAACAGTGATTATGTTAGAGGGAGGGGAGAAGGGGAAGTTAGAGTTTGACTGCAAGGGGGCACAAAAGAGCTTTATTGGGTGATGGAAATGTTCTATTTTATTCTTGATTAGGATGGTAATTACAGAGGTGTATACATTTGCCGGAACTCATTGAATTGTAAACTTAAGATTTTCGCCTTTTATTGTAGGTAAATTTTGCCGCAAACAAACAAACAAAAGGAACACTGTGATGAATATGAAAGGAAGTATGCTGCGGTAGCCTGAAGCTTTAAATCAGGTATGATGGCTTAGAAAACTGTATCCAAATCTGTATCTCTTCCGCGGGGTAAGGGGAAGGTATTGTTTACTGGGGGGATGGGTTAGTTTAACTTTTCAGCTCATTGGAATTTTTTCTTTTATGGAGCCTATGTTTTTTGTCTGGTTTGGTTTGGCATGGTTTGACTTCCCTTTGCTCTCCGACTCTGACTACCAGTTGCCTTACTTTCTAGAGAACATTTATCTGGGCTGGGGAAAACAAAAATGGCATATCCAATGGCATATCCATTTCTTCACCATTGCTTTCCCTATAGTTTTTCAGGGTGGAAATAAGTCTATACAGCGATGGTCTCTATTCCACCATGGCCCACTCACACACAGCCCCCTCCCCAGCCCATTCTCAAAGAACCCATTGCCTGTAGATGCCTCAAAACCCTCTCACTTATGTGCAGAGATATTTACACCCTGCTTGAGATCTGGAGAGTTATTTGTTAGCTCTCTGCACCCCCTACTCCCCGCCCGACATTGGCCCATAACTTGGCCCAGGGTTCACTTTGCTTAGCAAATATCCTTCGCTCTTTGGGGCATAGTAGGCATTTCTTAGTTTCAGTATGGATGGAATTTTCCTTTGATTTCCTTCATTCAAATCTGTGGGCTTGGAACAAAAGAGTGTAACAAATATACCTTTACTTCACCATCTTTTGTTGGAAACCCTGAATCTAGTGTGAGCCCTAACCCATGGTTAAAACCTTTGACTGGCCTTCCATTGCCATTCAAAGATAACAAGTCTCAAAGCCCCGAGGTAGCTTACAAGGCTCTACATGGCCTGCCTTCTACTTAGCTCTCCAGTGTCATCTCACTTCTGGTTCCCCAAATCTAGGATGCCCCAGTCATTCTCACCTTCTTTTATCCTTTTAAGATAACATTTATTGTTCTTTTTCAGATGATTAAAGTAATTGTATTCAGTGGTAGAGAATTGGAAAATACAGAGAAGTATAAAAAAGAAAAGAAAATCACCTGTAATCATGCTTCCTAAAAGATATCACTGATAACATTTTGTCTTATTTTATTCCAGTATTTCTTCTTTTTAAAGAATATTTATTTATTTATTTTTATTTATTTTGGTTGCGCCAGGTCTTAGTTGCAGCATGCGGACCTCCTAGTTGAGGCATGCGAACTCTTAGTTGCGGCATGCATGCGGGATCTAGTTCCCTGACCAGGGATCGAACCCCGGCCCCCTGCCCTGGGAGAGCAGAATCTTACCCACTGGGCCACCAGGGAAGTCCCTATTCCAGCATTATTTCTATGCATAACATCCAGATATTATTTTTATGTTATATATACATGTGTATGTGTGTGTGTATATGTATATATATATATGTACATATATATATATATACATATAATTTTAAGGTAATTAGAGTCATTTGGACTTCTTCTACTCCACATTTTATTATAAGCATGTTCCTGTGCTATCATTTCCCATCATCATTATATTTTAAGTTCTAGTGAATATTAATAAGCATTTACTATGCACCCAGTACTACTTGGCTAAGCACTTTACATGTATTTTCTCCTTTAATCCTTGCAACCATCTGTGAGGTACTGGGATGTTCCCATTTCACGGAGAAGGAAATCAAGCCTTAGAGAGGTTAAGTAACTTGCTCAAAGTCACACAGCTGGTAAGTATTGGAGCTGGGATCTGAACCCTGGTAAAGAAAATCTCAACATTCTCCTGAGGTGTGAATAGAACAGTCTTTTAAACATTGATTGAATATTGAATAGATAGAAAGGAATAATTATAAACTATATGTAAGGTATAAAGGATCATGATGCAATGAACAAAAATATTACCCACCACCCAGTTTAAGGCAAATACACTTGCTTTTGACAGTTCTTCAAAGTGGCCTTCATTGAAATGATCACAGTTGGAATTAACTAACATTTGGGCCCTAGGATTAAAATTCCTCAGTGTAAAGAAGACAGTGGCAGACTTCCCTGGCAGTCCAGTGGTTAAGAGTCCATGCTTCCAATGCAGGGGGGCGCAGGTTTGATCCCTGGTCGGGGAACTAGGATCTTGCATAACGTGCAGCGTGGCCAAAAAATTAAAAAAAAAAAAAGTAGGCAGTGGCTCCCCCAATCCCTCAGAGTACAGCAGGCCCTTTGTCTCTCCAGACAGTCAAATCAATTGGTTGCTGTGAGCCCAGTTCTGGTGGCTGCTTCTCAGGTGTTCCCTTCCCCAGCCTCAGGAAACTTTTGCACTGAGAGAGGCTGGAGAACTCAGAATGAGGCCACCTCAATGGGGTTGACTGAATAGGCTTGGGAGCAGTGGCATCAATGTGGGAAGTGACTAGGGGACAAGCAGAGTCAGTGCTGGTGGCAGGATCAGCTTGTGGTGAGTGCTGTGGATAGACAAAGCAAAGCCCCAACATAACCAGTGACAGCCCCTGTGATGGCAGTGGGAAAAGTTGAGCAGCTAAGGTGAGGGGGTAACTTTCATTGCTACCTAATTGAGTGACTCTGAATCATTCTAGGAGAGGCGAAAGGACATTGAGGTTTTAGGAACCCTATGAAGTTCAGGGGGCTCAGCGCCAAAGGTACTTTTGTCATCACAGCCATTTTACCCACACCCGCATCTGTCCACCCTCCTGGCTAGTGTGGGCTGAGCAAGTAAGGATTAATCAATATTTCATAAAATGCAAGTTTCACTTCCCAAACTACTTCCTTCCTTCAACTATGGTGGCTCTCCCATTGCTCTCTATTGTACCCCTGGGGGTAAACTCTAAAACTGCGTGAATTGTCTTCAATCAGACAGACACCTCCAGTAGACATGGGAAAGCAGCATTCAAAGGTGATGACTTTGCCACCACCAGTGTCTGCGCCTCTTCTCCACCTCCTGCCGCCCTTATATATGAGCTGAATTCTTGCAATAACCTCTTAAGCAGCATTCTTGTTTCCAGTCTCTCGGCTACATTTGCCACCAATTTGTTTCCTTTTTAAATTGTTTTTAATTATCTAAAATATATCTCTATTTCCAAAGTCAAAATAATTTGACAAGCTGTGTTCAAAAAGTTTCAATTATTGTCTCTTCCACCCTGCTTCCTTCCTCTCCTCAATCCAAAAAGGAACAAAAAACAGAACATTAAAAACAGAGAGAGGGCTTCCCTGGTGGCGCAGTGGTTGAGAGTCCGCTTGCCGATGCAGGGGACACGGGTTTGTGCCCCCGTCCGGGAAGATCCCACATGCCACGGAGCAGCTGGGCCCATGAGCCATGGCCGCTGAGCCTGCCAAAAAAGAAAAAAAAAAAAAAAAGGTATACAGATCTAATCTCTTGGAATCCATTAGAAAATCCTTGGAAATATTTGATCTACTTCTTTTCTGTTTTAAGAAAAGAACCCGCAAATTTTATTAAGCATCATAAGAAAGAGTTATAATGAGCTCTTTCAAGGGAATTTTATCAAAATTAAGACAATGCTGTACAGAGTTTCTGATTCTAGAGATCAAAGTCTTTTCAGACTTTTTGGAAGACCTTGAAGATTACATCAACACTGATGGGATTCTGTCAAGTTCTAATTGACATGAATATTTCTGGTGGGTTAAATGTTAGTCGTGGTGTGTCACCTATTTAGCCCATGTATAGAATATAAAGTCTATACCTTAAAAGGCTTACGACCTCATTAGATATATAAAACCTCTCAATGGGAGAACTGTCAAGGAATGTGTGGCCATCTTTAATCCAGCACAGACTTGGTCCAGGATAATGACTATGAAAATAAGAAGATCTCAGGCCTAGCTCGAGCACAGGACCCCCATTTGTAGCGTTGTTCCTGTCACTTAATACATATTTAGTGAATTAACAAATAGAAATTAGAGATATTGTGGAGGGAAAAAATAAACAGCTGGGCTTCGTAGTAAATTGTATGTGGGAAGCAAAGGGGAAGAGGGAAACAAAGAGATGCGGTTCTGAATTTGGGAAGTTGATGGGCCCTTTGATGGTAATACTGATAGCGATCTCAAGAAAGGAATATTATCTCATTAATCATTGTGGTGGATTAACTTTCAAAAACCACTGAGAGACCATCCCCAGAAATTTTAAGTTTCAAATAATAAAAATAATAATGTTAGATCATGCCTTCAAGATAAGGAGCATAGGGGAAGATTTGGAAATCCTAGAATTACCAGCAATGGTTAAAAATGAAACAAATGATTTCATCCATGGGAGAGATCGTAGCAGGAGCGATTTTAAAGAGTCACTGAGCAGCGCTGTTAATGAACACTATTACAGGAACATTTGTGTTGACCTTATAGGGGTTGTTCTCCCATTAGTGGCAGTAGGGGCTCCATAGAGATGGGCAGTAAAGATACCTCAATTCTGAGAAAGAACCATTTTCCTGCCAGAATTTCAGAGGCTTCCCCAGTTGTCTGTTAAATTTGTGATCCGATGAAATATGGGAGACTCGTATTCCATTCCACGTTTCAAGTTTACATTTTTCCATAAACGTTGATCTGGCCGGCTCGAAGGCAGAGGAAGCAGAAACTTCATGTGAATCGGGGCTGATCTGGCTGAGGTTTATGGAGGGGCCCTTCCAGCCTTGCACTTAAATCCCTCCCCGCCTAACTGGAACGCAAGTTGTAAAGTGCTCCGTCACCCCGTGACCAGGAGAGATGAGAGGTTCTGCGGAGACCGTAATCTCGCTCTAAACAGGTCTCCGGTGAGGGCTGGTGAGTGGTGATACATCACGCCAGTCGCTCCTCCAAAGGCGCCCAGTGTCACCTCCACCGTGTTCCTGCTCCCCTGAAAGATTGGAGAGCTTCCGGGGAGCGTCAGATTGGGGCCTCCCGAGGGCGGCACGCACAGTGCGTTAGCCGCTGAGCCATGGGCCTGGCCCGCAGCCTAATTATTAACATCTGAAAGTCGGCTGTTGGGCGACTGCACGAATCGCTTTTATGACATTTAAAAATATGGATTTTTCTCCTCCTTCTTCCTGGACAGGCCTATCGCATATTAGTCTCTGGATATAC